AGGAGACGGCTCAACAATGAAGTGCCTGCTTCATAAGCATGAGAGCGGGAGTTCAGTCCCCAGCATCCACAGAGCAGTTAGGTGTGGCTGGGCCTGCTGGTAAGGCAGCGACGCAGCATCATAGGGCCGATGGCCAGCCAGTCTAAAGCCGAGGCAGTGACAGCCAGGCTCAGCCAGAGACCCCAGCTCCAAAAGACAGGTGGCAGGAGGCAAGTGAGGTGACTCAGGGCGATGGCGCTTGCTGCCCTATGATGCAAACGTGACAACCTGAAACTCACCAGGTGACAGTGTTTGCTGCCCAGTAGGCAAACCTGACAACCTGATTCGGATTCTCAGGTCGAAGGAGAAAGCCAACCCTACAAAACTGTCCTCTGACTTCCCTCCTGGCCTCACAAATTCTCTCTCTCTCTCTGGGAACTCAAAAGAAGATGGAGATTATCTTGGAGCAGGTTACTGGATGAGGGCAGAAGTAAGTGAGAATGGAAGGACGTTGGACCGACTCCAACTTCTAGGTCAGGTTGTCATACTGGAGTACAGGACACACTGTACCGTACCTCATCAAAGTGGGTATGAGTGAAGGGTAAGTCAGTTTGGAAAAGGAAGCCAAGACAAAAACTGAAGTCCCTAAAGTGGATGTCAATGGAGAGATTGCTACACAGCCTTAGGTTAAAGAAAGGATGAGGAAGGGGAAACCTGAAGGATGAGGAAGCAGGGGCAAAAAGTCAACGATTAAAAACAAAATAGATTAGGTTTAGGAAAATGAGTGTACTCTTAGCTTCAATGACTACAACTAAGTACCCCAAACAGGCTATTTACAAGAAAAAGCTTTGAGTTCACAGTTCTGGGGTTCAAAATTCTAGGACTGAACCCATTATTTAAGTCTCTTGTGAGTGAGGCATAGGATGGCAGCCTGGGAGTTGGAGAGAATGCTCACATTCTAGAGCACGAAACAGAAGGAGTAGGAATAGGGAGGGTACCACAAATCCTTCAGGGCGGTGCTCCACGACCTAAGGTTCTCACTGGGTCCCACATATTAAGGTTCAGGGTATCTCCCAACGATACCACCTGGGGACCTATCCTTTGCACATGGACCTTTGCGGGGGGGGGGGGGGGGGGGGGGGGACACACACCCAAACCATAGTGACAAGGACACATTTTATGAGGGAGTGGGAAATGTTGACTAACAAGCTAGGGCTGAGCAGTGTTCAATGGCTTTGAGAACATGGATGGCAGCATGGACTTGGCCAGAGGGGCCCCAGCAAAGCTCCACATTCTGTGATGCAAAGAGCCTTGTGACTACTGGAGCACAAGGGATGCAGGCAGAGAGTGCAATGTATCCCTGGCCCAGTGCCATCCAATCCAGACAGTAAAGGTTTGTGGTAATTTTACTTAACAAGCAGAATGGAAAACTCTTTCATATACTAAGATGACTGGTACTTATCCAAGTCCTTGAAATGATCAGATTTTGAGTATAGTGACTCAGATCTAGAGAACTATGACTGTTCCCCTGGTATGCTTAAATTTGGCAATGTAGTAAGTCTAGTGCACTACGGGAGTTGTTTTTACTCCAGTCCCACCCTTAAACTCTAGATAAACCTGACACCCAAACCACAGTTGTATCATGTTGCTTATTCTTGCTAAATAAATATTACTTTGTTAACAGAGACACCCCACAAACACTATAACATTCTGTAATCAGATGGACACCTGGGGAGCATAAAATTCTCAAATTCAAACCAAACAGATCAGACCTCAAATGGCAAACACGATACGGCCTCTAAGGTGTTGGTTTCTCCCAACAATGTACAAAGAGCCCTATGCAGTTGAAAAATTCTTGCTAAGAATCCTAAATACCAACATATGTTATTGTTACATAGACTATGGCCTTAAGTATTAAAAGAAAATAATCCATCCCATAAATTAAAAAAAAAAAAAAAAAGACCTTTGGGCCTGGGGTTCTGCAAACCCCGCAATAGAGAGTGGGTTTCTGTAAGCAATAAATGACTATTTTTATCCAAAAAAAAAGGACTGTGCTGGAGTCAAGCAAGGCAGGCAGGCTTGTGCTGTGTGGGAGAGGACACTAGCAATTGCTGCTGGTTTACACCGCAGGAGAACTGGATTCTCCACAGCTAAACACCACTTTCTGGGGCAAAGGAATGGAGTCAAATGTTTGTAAAGATGGCTCAAGATTCGGAATCAAAGCTTTAGTGTGGACTTCACATGCCTCACCTTAAAGGTCCACATCACACTCAAGTGACCTAACTACAAATGTAACTGGCCTGAGGGTCGACAGGATAAGACTTGACAACAATGCTTTACAACAGAAGACTACTATACACTTTAAACTGGAGATGGCCAAACATCCCTACAGTCGGAAAATGTGGGGATATCACAAGACATCCTAGAACCTGGGATTCTAGAAAGGTTCTCAGAGAGCTCCCTACCCGTTATGAAGCCAGAAGAGGCAGCAAGCAGGGTTCAATAGCCCCCAAACCAATGATAGCCTCACTTCTGTCCCTCCTACCCCTACACTCCAAAGAAGCATAGGTCCCTTCTGTGGTCATTGGAGATGTACTTTCCTTTGGGAGGACGAGAGACAGGCAGTAAGCTCAGGTACATGAAGACAAGCCCTAGAATCTTTGTCCAAGTTACTATTTGGCCAACCTGATATAAGCTAAAGTTAAATGGCAATAGGGATCTCAATTGAGAAAATGCCTCTACCAAACTGTGGTGCTACCCCCAGGCAGGTGGTCCTGAGTTCTAGAATGAAAGCATGCTGAGCAAGCCATGAGGAGCAAGCCAGTGAGCAGCACCACTCCATAGCCTCTGCTTCAGCTCCTGCCTCCAGGTCCCTGCCCTATCTTCCCTCAGGGATGAACTGGGTCCTGAGAGTTCTATGATGAAATCAACCCTTTCATCCCCAAGTTACTCTTGGGCATAGTGTTTGTCACAGCAATAGAACCTGACTAAGCCAGTGCAGAAGTAGCCACAAACAGCACTTCTACCTCCTCATGTCAGTTTGCTGAACTCTTACACGCTTAGGCTTCTGCTGCAGATTAGATTCAACATGGAACAGAACACATTCCACTATTTTATTATATGGAATACTACAAAAGGAAACAACAAATGAGTTCACCTGTGAAAGCCTCTGGATTGTTCTGTGGGAGAAGAAAATGGGGCTGGCAGGAGAAAGAGGGCCCTTTAAACAATGACTTCCCAGGTTCATCTTTCAAAACAAGAGCCAAACCATGAATTACATTAACACACACCCCAGGAAGAGCCAAGTTTGCAGTGAGTAAAACAAAGAATTTATTCTGAGATCTCTTGGAGGCTTTTCCTTCTCAGAGATAAGGAAAACAAGAGGTATCCAGATGGGGTGGAGTGGCTCTGAGTGAGGAGCCTTTTACTGGGATAAACAGCAAGCTCCTGGACACAAACCTCCAGGAGACAATGAAGGATTTTAGAAAGACCACCTTTGTGTGTGTACTTTTACAAACCATTTCTATGTGGTACTCTAGGATCCCAGGATGGCTAAGTGATGATGTTACACAAGCTCAAAGCTAGACTATCTGCAGGACTCCACAGAGAGGCCTCCACTTTCAAGTGCCCCTGAAGTAGATGGATGACTAGAACACAGTCAATGGCACCCTGTCCTTGCTGGAGAAGACCCAGAACACAGTCAATGGCACCCTGTCCTTGCTGGAGAAGGCCCAGAACACTGTTCACAGCACCATGTCTTTGCTGGAGAAGGCTCCATCACAAGGACTCTTCTACCCACCACAGCTCTGGAACACAGATCACACACCAGCTCCAGAGGCTTCCACAGAAACACCAGTGTGAGCAAGATGAGCAGAAGTGAGAAGAAAATGGCTGTGAATGGGAAGAAAAGAAACTTCTAGCAAGTAACACAGACAGAAACTACCTCAACTGGCATCATCACCTACAGAACAAGAACTTAAAACTTTAGACCCAATTGTTACTTACATCTGAAAGAACTTGACGAAGTAGTTTAATGCTGGGCTGAGGCCCCAGTCTGAGGTGGTTCTGCTCACAGAACGATGGCTGAATACTATGGCTGCTCACCAAAGCAGACTCGCTGCTTTCTATGAGGGTCTACTCTGCCTTTCAGTTTGACTAGAGCTGGCTCCTCACATTCCAGAACCTCCATCCTCATCCCTTTTGCTTATTTACCTCAGAGTTAAATTACCGTCTTAGCCCTTCCCCATGTGCCGCCTTCTCCCCGCTTTCTTCTACCTTCCGAGGCATGGGAAATCTACTGTACTATTTGAGTCTTCTGATGATGGGAATGAAAATGGCCACCAGAGGACAATAGGGAATGGCACTCTTAGGAGGTGTGGCCTTGTTGGAGGAAGTGTGTCACTGGGATTGGGCTTTGAGGTTTCAGAAGCTCAAACCAGGCCCAGTGTTGCTTTGCCTTACTGTTGCCTACTGCTCCAGATGTAGGACTCTTGGCTCCTTCCCCAGTACGTCTGCCTGCATGCTTCCATCCTTCGCACCACGACGATAAAAGACTGAACCTCTGAACTGTGAGCCAGCCCCAATGAAATGTTTTCCTTTATAAGAGTTACCATGGTCATGGTATCTCTTCACAGCCCTAGGACACTGACTTAGACAAATTTTCCTCTCAAAATCTTTTTCAAATAAAATGACAGCACAGCTATCCAACCAAAACCTAGCATTCTATTCCTTCTATCTTATAAGTTGTCTCAAGCAATGAAGACTGTTGAAGATAATACCGCTACTGTCACTTCAAGAATTTAAGTTATCTAAGTTTTAATCCCACTGGCCACTACATACAAGGTAATGATTTCTGTTGATAATCATGTATTAATTAAAGAACAAAGCACATACAAATCCCACTGCAGGTGGCTGGATACTCTACTGGGAAAGCTCCATGCTTTGGAAGACTCTCATGGGCATTCCATGTTATTTCTGAGAAACACAGGAAAGCCCAGAGCAGCCTTGGAGAGAGCACTTACCTCCTTTCCAGTGGGCGCCCATCACTGGAGATGCTGCGAGGGATGTTGCCAGCTCTTTCTGGAGGGGGCATTTTCCCGTCTCCCTTCCCGGCATTCAGCCGTGATGTCATGGGACTCTGCAGCTGGGATGGGACCTGGGGTGAGTGAGCACCCTTGCTGGCATTCCGCTGCCATTTGTTGTTATTCCTGAAGGGAAACTTGAATTCATAGGAAACACCTTCATTCATCTTGTACTCCATCACTGGCATGCGGTAGGTTTCTGAGCAACTCCTATAGAGAGAAAGACCAGGAAAAAACACAGTGACTACTGCCTCATCATGTTGGTGGAGACACACTGATAATCATTAACATTCTTGAGGCTTCTTTCAATCTTTGGGTCTTTCAATTTTCCTCTCCCAACCTAGGACCCCAGAAGAATCACACAAGTATTTTCTATTAGCCAGTCCCAAGTGTGGAGCCTGAGATGAGGAGTCCATGAAAACACACAGCGCCCAGGTCAGCTGGGAGCCTGGAGAACTAAGGAGAGAAGGACAGCTGGAAGGCCCTGGGAACAGGCAGCTCAGGGCAGACAACAAGCAGCTCTGCCAAGTTCGCTGGGAACTGCAACTGGGGATCTAAAGGGAGGGCAGCTCCAAATGAGTTGGGATCCCAAGAGCCAAAAAATTAAGCCGGGAAAGATCCCAGCGCCCAACCAGAGAGCCAAATTTAGCTTAGGAGGGAGAAAACCAATTACAGAAATGCAACAATTATTAAATCCCTCGGGAAGACCAAGCACAATCTGAAACCAGACTTCATTCCCCCCTCCCCCCAAAGGAAGGAAGGCATCTCCCTTCCTCAGTGACATCAATGGCCAGCAGCGTAAGTCCTGTCACTTCTGCTACCTGAAACCTCAGTCTTCAGGAAGCCTGGGACCCATGCTCCATTCTTTATATCAAAGCAACAGGAGCAGATTCTGTCTGTCATTAACCAGGTGGACAAATTCTATCCCCACTACAGTATTAACCTGTGCACTGGCATTTCACCATTGAATAGAATGGTTTCTCTTTGTACAGGACTGCATGGACTGGGAATCAGGAGGGGAGAGCTGGAAGGGAGTGTGAACACAACAGCTGTGAAGAGTCTCTCATGAGGAACATTGGAGGTAATGTAGAGTGATGTAGAGTGAGCCCAAGGCAAGCAGGGTGAGCTGCATGGATGAGCCATGGTTGGAACTTTAATTTTAGAAAGAAAACAAATCTGGTGTAATTGATTTAAGAGGCTTTGTTTTACCCCAAATGTCCCAAATTGTATCATTTTAACATAGTTATCACTGAGAAATTACTGAGATATTTTATGTTCTTCTAAAGCGCATGCAGTTTGAAGGAAACCAAACTGTGGCCACCTGCCTTTCCTACTGCTTTCATGGCAAGGGAATACCTCATTGGCTTTATGCTCTCCTATCCATTTCTGAGAAACCTAAGAATGACAGAACAGTGGATAGTGCCATGTGCAAAGCCTCACACAAAGCCTCCTGTGGTCTCCTCAAATAAAATGTGGTGGTGAATAAATATAAGTGTAAGGCAGACTATGGGAAGCAGGACCGGTGCTAATTTAGCCACACGACAGCAACTCCATGATGGGGGTGCTATATTGCACTACCCTGGAATTATGGGTGAGCACAGAGGCCCAGAGAGCTCTGCATAACCCAGAGGAGGCAGACCAGGCCCTAACAACCCATAGCATCAGCAGCATACCTGCTGGCTCATCTTACTTTAGTTTCTAACTAGAGGATAACACTCTAATTCCCCAAATATCCTCATCCATATGAATGCATCTCACTCAAGGACAGTCAATGACAAAAAGGGACAGCCAGCATCTTTTGTAAACCAATGGAAGCTGTCAGCAGGCATTACCGTTTCAGGGCTGAATGTGACCAAAGGGCCAACTGAAACCTAATTTTAAAAAAGCCTAATGTTTGTGAACAGCTTGGTCCCTGGAAGCTGTGACTTTGGCTCCAGAGAAACACACAACTCCTTTCAGTGGGAGCTCATCTAGAGGTTGAGGTTTGGAGCAGATGAGTTCTAGCTCAAAGGCAGCATGCTCTCTCTCACTTTCAAAGCAAGAAAACACTTTGCAACCCATCCCTATTTAAAAGATAATTTGACTCTCTGAAATCCCCAGCAAGAAAAATAATAGTACTAAAGATAATTTTGTCTTTTTATATAACTGTTTTTAGCTGTTGAATGGCTTCTGATTGCAGAGTAGCACCCTGCAAAATAAAAGCTGCACCACCAGAGGCGCCTCATCCAACCGGCTAGCCAGCTATCTCTCTTGTCAAGCGGACGAGTTGGAGTCCGCGGGACTCCACTGGAGATGTGACAGAGGTGAGGGGCCTTTTCCCCAGTGGGAGTGAGGGTGGATGATGACACTTAGGAAGGACATCTGACGGGCCCTCAGAACTGCCCCCACCGTGCCGTCCTCTTGGCTGTCTGGTTACTCTGCGGGCAGTACCACAGCTTCCACCGTCTCACCATTGTATTAAAAGATGAAGGACCCTGAGGGAAATGACAAAAGCCCTTCAGGCACAGAGCAGACGCTCAGAAACTTCATTTTATGTCCCTTCTCTCATCAAACTGCAGTTTGGAAGCAGCTCATGGGGGGTCTGCCTGTTTTCTAATAAAGGGCCCTGAATTTTATGTGTTAAACATAGCTTCCATTTTCAAAATGATTGTGCACATTCACTCAAGGTCTGCCTGACATGTGGTCGCCATGTGGCTGCCCATGATGCTTTCAAGGCGGCTGCAAGAAGCAAACAGCAGTGGGTAGGGAGCTTTCAGGAGGCCTGTCCTATGTCACCTGGAGCCGCCTAAAGGGAAGGAAGGCTGACAAAGGGGAGAAGAGTGACTAGTCAAAGAGCGGTAATTAGTTGCTAGGAAAACAGCAGTGGGAGTGTGAAGTGCGGGGGAGAAGAGACTGCAGCAAGGTGTTAATGCTTCAACTGTTCCCTTTGAGGCCGCTTCGCTTCGCGCTTCGCTTCCGCAGAAGTGAGCAGCTTCTCATCTCCCAAGGCATCTGCACGGTGCACAATTTCCCACCTGCACACAGGGGCGGGGAGGGCTACAGCTTAGCATTTAGCCTTCACCCAGCTTCCTGGCTCAGCACCTGACAGCGTGTGGGCAGCAGTGTGAGCTTCAAGAGGATGGTGTGTGTGTCTCCCAGTGGAAGACACATGTGGCTCCTTCACTCAGGAGTGTGGGAGTCACCTGCACTGATTTCAGAACATGCTGTCCCATCTGGCCCAACTCCGTCCTTACAGATGTCACAGTGGTAGCTTCAAAGATGCCAGGGGAAGGAGTGACACCACGAACCAGGAACTGCACATATTTACCAGAACACCCATGACTTATACTAGCGACAGCATGAGGGTCTGTGCCAACCTAGAGAGCAGCACTCTGACCTCTGAAGCTCCTTGGTTGCTTTTTCTGTAAGATTATCATGTATTATGTATGTATGCATGCATGTATGTACATACGTACATACCATGGGGTATGCCACCTTGCATGTAGGTCAAGGTGGGATCTTTTCCATCATCTGAGACCCAGGGATCAACCTCAGGTCATCAGACTAGGTGGGAAGTGATTTGACTCACTGAGCCACCACACTGGCCCTATGTGTTTTCTTAAAAACATGCATAGTTGTCATAAGATTGCTAAAAAAAAATGTATTAATTCATGTAACAGTGTTTGTTGGTGTTTTGTTTGTTTGCCCCCCTCCCCCCCTAAAGGCCTGGAGCATTGAAGTAAAAATTCAGCCAATGAACTGGATGGATCAGGCAGCTGTTCCTGGTCCTCCCTCTAGGATAAGGCTATAGGCAAACGACTAAAAAATCAAATGTAAGGCTGACTCATCAAAAGCCCGTTCCTGGCCCCACAGATGCTGCCAGGAAAGAGCCTGGAAGTGGAGCTCAGCTGTCCAGGTCCAGGCAGAAGGGCTTAAAACAACAGTTTGAGCTTTAGGTAGCAATGGGAGCGAGGACAGTATGATCATCATGGGACTTGAAAGGACACATCTGACAGGCCAAGATGTGATGTGCTCCGCTGACGGCTGGAGCAAGATGCTGAAGATAGATAGGTGTTACAGACATCCTGTCTGGAGCGGCAACTTTATTAGTCCGGTGATGCAAATCCTACACTGGCACCAGTCAGTCAATGGAGCTGTGTCCTTGTTTGACTTTCCATGTAGGAATGGTCAGCCTCACAAAAGAGGTCAATTTCTCTCTGGCCGCTCTGCCTATCGAGGCATGTTTTATGTGGCACAGCACCCCTGACCTCAGCTGCCAACTCAGACCTACCTCCGTGGGGTGCAGTCGTCATGCGGAGGGATGATGACGACTTTCACTGTGACGGATGTTCTCAAGAGATCAATCATCTGCTCATGGCTCAGGGTGGCCACCGCCACCTTGCAGATCTCCACCAGGCGGCTGCCCTGCCTCAGACCTGCTTGCCAGGCATAGCCGTAGGGCTCTACATCTGCCACGATGCCCTCATAGTTGACATGGAAGCCAAGCTGTCCTAGCCCGTTTCTTCGCAGAGTCATTTCCACCGATTCACAGCCTTTTGAAACAAACTAGACAAGGGAATGGGAGATGCTGGAGTTAAGAACTGTAGACTCAGAATTGGAAAAATGCTGCCTTGGGTTAGCCTATAACAAGCTGAAGGGTGGGCTACTCACTTCCCTTCACTAGTCTCCTCTATTCAGTAGGCAAAAGCAACACACTGGCTGAAGGGCTCGATGGCTTTCCTAAACTTACAGGGAAACCTCACAGAGATCCACAGAGTTGGCATTGAGGAGAACCTATACTCTGCATTCAACTATCCATTTAAAAAAAATCCAAGGAGGCAGATATGCAAGCAGCTTTCTCAGCATCTACAGCAAGAGCAGTCAGCAGTGCAGTGAGATCTGGTCATGAGCAGGTGAGTTTCCAACACAAACTCCCAGCCAATGTGCCCTCTCTCCTGATGCTGCTACTCTTTACAACAAATGATGCACAGTGTTGCTTCACATATCATTATGGGAATTGCTAGAGTAGCCAATAATGCCACACAAGGTTATGGCCTGGCTTTGGTGTTCCAGAAACTTTAGGAATGAGAATTGAAACCAAAAAAAAAGGGCAAGTCTCACCTGCAGCCTTTTGACAATTTCTTTAATATCTTCACTACTAATGAAGCTCTCCACCGAAACACACTCTCCTCGCTCATAGAAGATTTTGAGGCTGGTGTCGCTGGATGTCCACCCTATCACATCTCTGCAGGAACAATTGAAAGCCACACTCCGTGCTTCTTGATCGATGAGGACGATGAACTCATTGGAGATCCCGAGGAGGCAGTCGAATTCCATGGCCTTGTTGTAGTCTTTGGCCCGGACTGCCCATACAATGGCCCCCATGCTACTGAGCTCCGCTCCCGGATAAGGCTTAGACTTTTCCTTTTTCTTGGAGGCCAGAGAAATGAATGGAAATTTGCCAGAAGGGTCAATAGGTGTGTTGGTGACATTCTTTTCTGCCAGATCTTTCAGGTATTCCTGGCGGGTCCTTGTTGCCATGGCCCGGAACTTTTCTGACTTATGAGCAGCATTTTCTGCATTAATCACTTTGGCCAAAAGGAAGTCCCTGAACACGTTTGACTTGGGGAAAGTGACCCCTTTAGGGATGGGAGGTCCAAACGAAGGCACATCTCTGGACCTGGTGACGGCCACACTGAGAGACGAAGCAGAGAACAAAGATGAAATGTGTGTCAGTACGTCTGTCTTCTATTACAACATGGGGATAGAATGTGCTGTTACGAAGGGCTGGGGGGTGGAGCTCAGTAAGAAAGCACCAGTGTAGTAAGTACACGCAAGGCTCTGGATTTGATCCCCAGTACTAAGGAGAGGGGAGAAGCATACACTAAAGGCAAAACGACTTCTCATTTTGTACAAGAAAGAACACAAATGTCTGCTAAACAAATGAACTTTTTCATTCGGGCTTTAGCGAACGAGAATCTTTTCTAGGCAGACCCTTTCTATCCAAAAACTTAGAAGTTAAAACTTCACTTCTTTAGCAGATGGGAGACTAACCACAACATCATCGTGGGGCTGGGGGCTTACTTTAATGTTCCACATAAGAGAATAAAAGCTACTTTAAATACCTACAGTGGAGGTATTTACCTAATTCCAGTGGAGGATGTCATAATCACACAACCTTTCAGACAGAAAGTCTGTCAGAACACAAATGTGTCCTCCACTTGAGACAGGATGGCTGGAGGCAAGACACAGTTCACCAGGGAAGAGCCAGGAGATACATAGCATGAGAAATGAGTGATTTCTCATTTCGATTTCTAATAATAAAGCAAATAGTATCTGTTGGTCCATGTGTGAGGCATCATGAGACCAGATTAAAAGCATAACGTTAAAATAAAATCATCAATAGTAACTGTGATTTTTAGAGAATTGCCACAGTATTTGAAATTCCTGTTTTCAACTGAGCTATTCTTTGACCCAAATGTTCTGCGTTTGGTCTGTGATTCTTAAGGAACTCATTTCCCTTTCCCTGTTTGTTTAAGTCAGACTGACCTTAGAAACTTGTTCCTATCACTTCCTTTGCATACACAGAGCCAAAATTAGGCTCCTGAAAAATGGCCATAAACACCTATGCTGAGCTTCTAATTTTATTCTCAAAAAGAAAAATACTAAATTTCCCTGACAGCAAAAGTTGGGTAGAAATAGAGAGGCTATATGCATATATCAATTTTCAAGATCACATGGTAACCTCAGCCAAGCTCGACAGGGCTAAAAAGGATGATCCCACTTTCCGTGTGACTTAAAAGTGAGTCAGCCATGACACCATGCACGGTAAAATGTTTTCTCAGAATTGTCAAGAGAAAGGATACACCTGAGCACGTGCTTTCAAAGTGAACTGAAGACTTCTACCTCACACTTTCTTTACTTTAAAGACTTGTCAGAGTCGCACCTACAACACCAGCACTCGAGGCTATCCTGAGGTGCACAGTGAGTTTCAGAACAGCTACAAAATAGGACTGTCTCAGCCTCCACAGGTGGGGTAGGAAGCCTCGCTTTCAGATATTCAGCTACTTTTAGAAAAGAGTTCTGTATCTCATAGAACTTGAATAGATAAATCTACAAGTGGAGATTTTATACTTTATCGTTTGGTGAAACGGAAAAGCTACACTGTCAGGAGATACCTTGGACAGGATCTGTGATTTTCACAAGTTTATCTTTAAAAAACACTTCTAGTCTCACTTCAGGACAAAGGGAGGTGTCAGCCAATACCCGTGTTCTAACTGCAGAAGTGAAGCCTCATACTCCCCTGTGCATGCATTGGGGTCTAATTACACACTACTACAAAGGCAATTTTTCTTGTCAATGTGAACTGTCTGGCTTGAATGCTGACAGCTGTGTAATTTTAATTTGATCATGTTAGCTCCCCCCACTCCTTCTGAAGCAGAGCAGAAAAGTGCTGAAATCCAGGTTTGGTAGATTTTTCTACAAGGAATCCTGTGAGGATCCAGAAATGTTTAATATCTTTCATTTTAAAATCGGCAATTTCTGTTCTTGCTAATTTCACTCAGAGCATTCTTCCTCAGGAAACAGCTGTGCTTTTCTTTAACTAAGGAGAGGTGCCTCGCTCAGCAGGGGTGTGGTCGTGAGCATGTCTACTTGCCCCTAAGCCCACAAGAGAATATAGATCTATTTATTAAGTGATAGAACTTTAGACAAACATCACTGGCAACCCACCACTAATTAGAAGCTTCTAGAGGGAACTGTGAGGGAGAGAACTGAGTCTTTACTGTGTAATTATCTGTGATTCACCACAGATGGGAGTAAGTGATACAGACAGTAATCAGGTCTGCATTATTAGAAACAGAATCCTCAAGGAGGCGGTGAGGAAGATGGTAGCCTAGAAAGGACCTTTCAAACAGTTTTGTCTTAGACCCTAACTTTCACAGTCCTACAAGGTTAAGAGGCTTCACTGCCACACATGCCACAGATGCTAAACTCACCGTACTAAGGCCTTATTAAGCTAATTAAAATACTTTGCCTCAATTCAAAAAGAAGTTTGTCTAGAATTTCTAAATATAGGTACCTAAGATTACCTACAAATGGTTCTTGCTTTTTTAAAAGGTGGGTTCCACGGGGTCTCTTGTGAGCCACACTTACAGCACTGTATCTTGGCAATGATCTACCCTTTTTAAGCCTGCTCACCTGGCAGCAGGGGTCAATGGGCCCCGCCACCCAGGGGGTATGAGGACAAACAGACCTTAGATTCTGAAGCAATCAGGGAAGGCCGACACTGGAAGGGGCTTTACTGGGGCCCCTCACACTTCCATAAAATTGTGAGCCTCACCTCAAACTGGACTTCAATTTTACTTTCCACCAAGTGAAATGTGTGTTCATTTTAATCTCCCCAATGTCCTTGAAAACAACAGGGAGACCCAGTGTTTATCTCCAGGCACAGGCAGTACAAATCCTTCTCTTTACAAAAAACCACCATGATCTACACTGCTGGTGGAGAGTGCCAGGGCTGAAGTCAAGCTCTAAGTGTCAATGCCAGAGCCCTGTCCACTCCACCCTCACCTCCAGACTTACCCTTCTCTCTCTTTGGTACCTACTAAATGGGATCATCTACACACATCTCCTGACCTAAGAGACCGCCACAGGCTGTGTCTATGTGACCTGGATGGACCATGAAACATTCTCTGGCATCAAAAACCTTGAATGAAGCACTACAACTTGGTACACAGGGGCAATCTGATAAACAGCTAAATGGACGTCTTACTGCAAACAGAGTAAGACATTAGAACTTTAGAACCAAGCATGTGGTGTGTACCTGAAATCCCAGCACTTGGGCAAAAGGAGGATCAGGGGTTTGGGGTCATCTTTGGCTACATAGGAGTTCAAGGCTACAATGGGCTACATGACTCTACCTTAAAGGGGTGGGGGTGGGTTGGGGGCAGTGAGATGACTCAGTGGGTAAAGGCACTTAATACCAAGCTGGGTTATCCGAGTTTAATTCACAGGACCCCACATCGGGGAAGGATATAAATTGTCCTCTGACTTTTACACATTTGCCCTGGCACAGTCTCCCCAACAATTCAGCAAATACATAAGTAAATGTTAAAAAAAAAAAAAAAAAAAAAAAAAAAAACCTACAACATCAACAACAACAAAAACCCAACTAAAACTAAAACTAAAAGAACAAAAGCAAAAAGAAGAAACTTCAACTTTGGAAGCGTAATGTAAATAGCAATAAACGACTGATTTCAACCTGAAAGGGAAAGAAACTTGGTTGTGCAAACTTGGAGACTCTGGAAACTGAGACAGGAGGATTCTGAGTTCAAGGCCAGCCTCAGCTACAGAGTAAATTCACAACCAGCTTTTACAACTTAGGTTCATCTCTGAATAAAAATGAAAAGAGGGGCTTTGGGAGCCTTGGGTTACTGTTCAGACATGGCCAAGTCCAAGAACCACACCACACAACCAGTCCCTCAAATGGCACAGACTTGGCGCCAAGAAACCTCGGACACAGAGAATCTCTCAAGGGATCGACCTCAGGTCCCTGAGGAGCACACACTCTGTCTAGAAGCATAAGAAAGGCCTGAAGAAGAGGCAGGCAAACAACCTGAAGGCCATGAGTACACGAGCAGAGGCCACCAAGGCCCTTGTGAAGCCCAAGGTGGTTAAAACCCTGCTGCAAACTCGGCTGTTCTCTTCTCATGGCTCGCTCCAAGCTCGGGAAGCAGATGAGAAGCTACATGGCCAATGGTCGTAGGCTCTGCCAACCAAAGGCAGAGGAGGCCTCAGCTCCAGCTCAGGCTCCTAAAGGTGCCCAGACTCCTGTTGAAGGCCCCAAAGAAAAGATTTCTATCTGCCAATGTGAAGACAGATGGACTGGTATGACACACCTACACACTATTTGCACACAATCATCACGCTCTGATGTTTTTACAAATAAACTTGGGGCAAGATCTGTTTAAAAATAAATAAAAAGAGGCCTAGGGATGCTGCTCAGGGGTACACTGCTTGCACAGCATTAAGGCTCAGTTCAGGATGGCAGGAACAACAGAAATAAAGAAGGTAACAGAGCACACCCAGAGGTAGAGGTGGCCCCTCCTCAAGCTAAGCCAGAAGAAACAATGTAGGGCTGACTTTGCAAGCAGCAGACCCAGGTCCAGGGCACAACAACCTCCCATGCAACTCCTCTATCCGGAAGCTGTGGGATTCCAACAGTGCTTACTTCCCAGCAATGCTCAAAAGCTCAACATACTAAGTCTTGTCTTGAGGACCAAGGGTGAAATTCAAGAGTCTGCTGTGAGTTCTCTGTTGGAGAGAGCAGGGTACCAGGGACCAGACTCACTAAAGGTTCTGCAGCTCTGGGGGGCAGGCAGGGTGCCCTCCCAGAGGAAAGCAAAGCCAGGTTCATTAAGTGAGCAGGTCATAAGTTTACAGTAAAAAAGGGAGGTCACTAAGGAAATGTTCTCTCTGATTTCTTTTGGTGAGATTAGAAACTGACATTTCCTCTTGGATTTAAAATGGCTACAAATTCACACAAAAGAATGATGTGTTAGGCTTTCAGGCATGGCTGTCAGTTAGGAAATGCATGCAGGCCCATGTCATGTTATGAACAAGGATGTCCTATTCCGAGTACGGACTCCCATGAGCATCACAGGGCTAGGTTAAAAAGATAGGCTCCCATGGGCTGGAGAGATGGTTCAGCAGTTAAGAACACTGGCTGCTCTTCAAGAGGAATCCAGGTTCAATTCCCAGCACCCACATGGCAACCTCTGCTGGTACCAGGTGCACACATGGCACACAGATATAAATGTAATCAAAACACTCATACACAAAAACGTGTAATTAAAAATGAAACAATGAGCTCCTTATGCAGGTATTACAAAGAGTAACAGAAAAATCACCACTTTCCAGTATTTTATGTGTCTGTGTGTGACATGAAGGAAAGGGAATGGCTGAAGGCAGCCAGGACACCTGCCCTTAGTGCTGTCCATGGTGGCTAATAGTTGAGGGCATTAGAAACATGGCTAATATGAATGAAGACCATTAAATCAGATTTAAAATTTAGTTAATATAAAATTTGAAAACTGATACTCAATCCAGATAAAGCTTTTACAAAATATTCTGGAACAATCTGGGTTTGTGACTATATTCTTCAATTGTAAGAGTTACAAATTTCTAAAGAAGATCAAGTCATTCAGTGAAAATTTAGTATTCTACCCAAGCTGTGGGCTAGCTAAAAGGTATTCAATTTAGTTCAAAAAGAGGTCACAAGTAGCTGGACATAGAGGTATATGCCTTTAATCCCATTAATCCCAAAACATAGGAGGTATAGGCAGGTGGATCTCTGTGAGTTCAAGGCTAGCATGATACACAATGAGTTTGAAAGTTATACAGTGAGACGTTATCTCTGAATCAATAACAGAAGGCTGGGGGCACAATCAATATAAATATTTTAAATTATAGTTTATTATGGAGAAATAATAATACTTTTATTTATTTAGTAAATAAAGCACTGAGTCAAAAATAGTGTCAAAATTACTTTCACCAATTATTTATTTTAAAAATTCTAGCTATTTAGTGAAAAAAAGAGGCCATGAATTTGAAGGAGTGCAGGGAAGGATATGCAGGAGGGTTTGAAGGGAGGAGAGAAAAAGAAACATAATTAAATTACAATCTAAAATTTAAAATCTGGTATTAAAAAGCCTAAAACTAGTATGTGCCCTGCACCGTTTCTATTGGGACAATACTGATCTAGACAGACTTAAAAGAAAAAAGTTTCCTTTAAAATGTGTTGTGTGGCAGTCCACTGGCCACACTTCCCAGTGCTATTCAATATGAAATCCTTTGCACAGATCCAGTAGACAGCACGTGGGAAATGCTCGGGGCATTTAAAACAGCTACAACCATTGTCTAATAGAACACAGAAAAGCCTTTAAGAGGATGCTTAGAAATGTTAGAGTAAAGGGCTTTTTTAAGAGCAACAATTTTTTAAAAATGAACTTCTATTTATTATGAACACTCTTGTCTGTTCTTGCCATGCCAAAAGAAATATATAATTAGCATTATGAGTAATTAGCTAGTTGGTGACCAGATGGCATGGATGAAGGACGGCACCTCAGGAGGAGGTGCAAATGGAGACGGCAGGTGTCTAACCAACAAGCCTGGGAGTGCCAACACCACCAGTTACATCATCATGTGAATTCAGCCAACTGCACACACAATGCAGAGATAAAAAATGAAAGTAACGGACTGCCCACCATACTCCGGAGAGCAGAGCTGGGGGAGGGGGACCCTGTGCACAGCCATCGCCTGCCACCCATTCAGCCACTGCCGCTCAGTGCCTACCTGTAACAAACACTCTCGGTGCAGGGGTTGTGAGCCCGGACAATGACAAAAACATGCTGAAAGTGAGATCGGATGTTTTTCGGGCTAAACGGTTGTGCTCCAGGCTCTTGGAAAACTATTGTCACAATGTCATTTCCAATGTGCCGCTTCCTCAGGAGCTACAAGAAAACAAGCAAGCACCAACATAAATGCCAGCACTTGAAGACACCCTCCACTATTCCATATACAAAAGACATCCATTCCACACCAGCGTGTACAGGCCTTTTTTAGCCTGTCTTAGCATTTTCTCCAAGGAGGAACTGGGAAATGAATGTTCTAAAATTTGTACAAAGGATACAGCCATTCAAACAGAGCTAACTAATATCTGGCATGTCCAAGTCCTCAGTTTCTATAGCAACAGCTGTGTTCCATTTTCAGATGAGAAACTTGCCATTGGGGAAGATTTTTAGAGATGAGGAATGGCTGAAGTAATTACAACACAACCACGTCATAGTTTCCTTTACAGAAAATGTGGCAAGGGTGATTCCTGATAGATGGTTTGTGCCCCCAAAAGTTGGGAATATGGAAATTAGTACTATCCCACAAGTAGTGACAAGTTAAAGGCAGGTTAGATTTCAGGTCAACAGCTTCCTTCACTACAGAGAGCTGCTTCAGACCATCTTTTGACTCATGCTATACACACTCTGCCATGATGTCAAAGTCAGGATCCTAACGCCAGTCCAATGCCCTCTGAGTGGGCTTCTAAGAGAGTGTGATTATCATTATTGTATGTAAGTGAGTTTTGTGCTTCTCACCCTTGCTTTATGGAAGTTCTTCAAAGACCAAAACAATTAAACATGGCATCAATTAACTATGACACACACAAACCTGAACTCATACAACTTATTTTTCCTATAATGCCAATTCTCTTAATTCTGTAGTATAAAATCCATGTTTCTGCAAGGTCAGAAGTGAATGGACCAGTTGCAATAGGTATGGAAGGAGAGACTGTCCACTCCTGGCTTCTTCTCAATTTCAGTCTGGTACTATTTATTTTGAAATCCTTTCCCAAACTGTAACTGCCAATATTGTCCAAACAGTACTGCTAGTTTCCATTTCCCTCTATGAAAGTCTGTCACATCCTTGTTTCTTCATTTTTCATTCTCACAGTCTGGCTAGGTGTTGCACCTCTGATCTCTGCAGGACTAGATGTATTTGTGCTTGGCATTATTGATTCTATTCCTTGCCATTTCTAGAAGGAGAAAGAACATGGCTCTGGACCCCCGACACCTTCCCTGACATTTCTCCCTGTTGTGTTCCATTCCCCTTGGCACTTTCCTGTTTTAAGCACTGGCCTCTTGAGAAGGTCCTCACCCCCTCGTGCAGATCCTTTGCAACCCTGCAGAGTCATCCAATCACTGCGATTTCAACTTCTCTTCAGACTGCATGAAAACCTCAATCCCCAGTGTGAAAAGCAAATGATTAATGCACAAAGCTATCCAGCTGGCGGTTACCCTGGAATCTAAGTCTCTTCATTTGTTTTCGGCTCACTTGCTATTCCTTGCTTCCAGAGAGCACAGAGCTTCCTGCTGCTGTGACAGGTGCAACACTAAATTCCGGTGGCAGATATTATAAACCTGCCACTTAGGCTTCTGGGGGAAATGCAGTAAGTGGAAACACAGAAGACAGGGCATGTCTTACCTGTTGCTTATTGTTAGGTGTATACGGCAGCATGGTGGAGACATGGAACATAATTTCATAGTCTTTGTAGGTTGTGTACAGAGAGTGGGTCCCAGTGGAGTCAGCTACATTAAAAAAAATAATAATAACACATGACTGATGACTACAAGAGCAGGCAAAGAAGCCACTTAAGAGGACAACCTTGAAAAATGATACAGAAAGTAAAGACATAGCTAAGGCCGATGACAGGTGGTTTTACTCATTTTTAAATCCCAATTCTCTTGTGCAATCCTATGAAGTCTATAGATTGGATACTTTCTCAGAATGGATGTTCTTCTCTTGGAATATTTGTGAATGCATAAACTAAACTATTCACACACACACACACACACACACACACACACACACACACAAAAAAAAAAAGAACTGGGGCTAGAGACATACATAGCTCAGCAGATAAGGGGCTTGACCCACAATGAGAGGATCCCCTGTGGTGGCCTGCTGTAATTCTGGCACTCAGGACAAGGAGACTGGAAATCACCAGAGAAATAGAGCAGCAAGCTCTGGGGTCAATTCAAGACCCAGATTTAGTATATAAAGTGGAGAATGAGCAAGGAGAACACCTAATATCAACCTCTGACCTCCACACTCACATATATTCATGTTCAGGCACATCCGCATCCACCCACACATGTGCGCGCGCGTGTCTGTGTATGTGTGTATGTATGTATTTAGGTATGTATAAATATACATGACAAAATTAAAAAGCTATCAAATATTTTAAATATGCTATTGCCAGGAATAATGGTGCACAATTGTAATCCTTGTACTCAAGAGGCTGAGACAGGGACAACACAAGTTCATGGCCACTCTGGGCTACATGGGTATTACAAAGTGGAGCAGTCAAATGTCTGTTTTCTGTTGGCAATAAAACCAGGTAACTGGTTCTTTATGTTTAAAATCGAAGGAAATGCTAAATTCAATCTAGGGTCAGTAAAAATAAACAAAAGATTTTTCATTCACCTTCACAGAGATTAAGAACCTATTTCTTAAAATTTCCAAATCATTCAAGAGTACTACGGGACATACACTGGAGAGCAAGGTTGTAGGAGTGCTTTCAAAATTTAAAGGTTTGAAAGCATGCTGTATTCTCATTTCTCCTAAGGAAGAACCACCTCTATCTAATGCCTAAACACAAATGACTTTCCAATCAGTATGCCTACAAACACCTAAAATCAGAGAAAAATACATCCGGCTGGAAGGGCTGCTGGACTCATGGGTTGCCCAGAGAACCTAAGAGCATCACTCTGGGTACACTGCAGCCACCAACCATAATTTTGAGAACTAAAAGACTTGACTGCACTTTAGTGAATGGTGCCTATTGTGTCTTAGCAAATGAAATAACAAGACAAAGTCACTGGCATGCATAAGAGGCAGCAGTTCTCAAAATCAGCATGCAAGCATTAGTCGGACAGCCACTTCAAAAGCAAAATCCCAGGCCACATCCAGTGATGCTGCACAGTGGGTATGAGGCCTCAAAAGGGAGTCTAGGTAACTCTGACGCAGCAGGTCCCACTGATTGGAAATACTGCTCCAAGCAGACTACGATGACACCAGCACAGATTTAGAAACATGATCTAGAGCCCCGAGCTTCAGGCTGGAGCTCACTGGAGGATCTTCATCTTGAAGCTCATGAAAAATGCAAAGAAATACGCTAAATATAGAACAAAGCAAAGATGACTTTTCAAAATTGCAAAATATATTTCATGTAAGTAGTCAAGAAAACAAAATCTCATAAGTGTTAATGACCACCACCACAAAATACCATCACTACAAAGAAGTGTCCTCAACTGTTCAAAGGCTGGTCTTAAGTATGAAGAACTTATGCATAGTTAGGAATCTGCTATAAAAAGCTGCAGATCAACCTGCTATAAATATCTTGTAAGACTCTGAGGTGAATGTGGCAGCTCTGATATGCTCCAACCTGACTGTAAGCAAAACCAATAGATGAGAAAAAATACTGCTACTGACATTTAGTAACTGCATTTGCCTTACAGCCATGACTGCCAGAAAGGAAAAGTTCTATGGGTAACAATTTGCTTTTCTTTTAGCCCTTGCATTCTCTGAATACTTCATTTCCTGTGATGGATGCTGTCTGACAAGCCTTTTTCTTCAGATCTTTGGAAATCCCACAGTTTTGCTAATATTTTTGACAGTTTGGGAATGGTTTCATGAAGTTAGAGATGAGACTAAGGTCAAAACAATGAGAACTTCCTCTCCCCAGAGAAAGCAACTCCCCTGTCCTGAGGTTACTATGAACACAATGCAAACAGAGAGAACAGAAAAGAATGTCTGCAGACCTTCCAAGACTACAATACTCAGTGTTCTTGCTATGCTCCCAGTGACTTAGAAACCATCCGGGAAGGGGAAACTGAGTTTTTTTTTTTTTTTTTTTTTTTTTTTTTTTTTTTAAATCAGGTTTCAGAGAATACAGTGAGCAACCGTGAAGTAAAAATGTGTTTGCAGAGGAGGACATGAAAGCCAATGCCTCTCCATAGCACAGCTGCATGGGCTCAATCCTTAAGGAGTAAATCCACCCAGACATTACTTGGGTCATCAGACAGGCAAATGACTCAAATCCAACTCACACCATCTGAGAGCTGTACAGTCATTAACATTACCATACTCAACATTGCAGGTGGCTGGTGGCACACACCTTAAATCCCAGATCTAATCTCAGAGGCAGAGCTCTGTGAGTTTGAGGCCAGCCAGGTCTACAGAGTGAGTTCCAGGACAGCCAGGCCTACACAAAGAAACCCTGTCTCAAAACACCAAGAAAAAAGAGAAAGAGGAAGGAGGAATTCCTTTAGCGGGTATAGCAGGGTACATCTATAATCCCAGAACCCAGAAGACTGAGAAAGGAGGGTCTCACATTAGAGGACGGTTTGGTATACATGGAGAGATCTTGTCTCAAAATCTGAAATGCAACTTTTATTATTCAAAGCAGATGATACTAAGATAGGGAGTAACCAAGGGATGACAAGAACAAAACATTACTTGTACAAGACCGTAACAGAGCAGTAATGCACTGCCACACTTTGGGAAGGCAGGGAAGACTGCAGTCAGCAGCGCCATTTCAACCTGAAGGTGCTTCAAGTCTGCCGAAATTTCCAGGTGCAGCCAAGGGCACGAACTCCTGACTACTGACATAAGTCAGGCTTTGTAGTAGTCAGAGGCTTGAGCGATAATGGATGTGTGAACCTGAATAAGGAAAAACTAATACAACGGTTTTTTTGAACACTAATGGCAAGTCAAGACAAAGTAGATGGAAAGGACATAGCCTGCTTGATTTTTGGAAACTGTCTAGTCTCAAATATGTGTGGATGCTGGAGGTGTAGCTAAGTGAGAGAATGCTTGTCTGGCATGTGAAGCTCTGGGTTTGATCCCTAGTATCTCAATGTGTAAATAAAATGAATAGCCACTGTGGTGGTTTGAAAGAGAATGGCCCCCTTGGACTCATGGTTAAATGCTTGCTCCTGTTTGGGAAGGATAAGGAGGTTGTTGGACCTGGCTCTGATTCTTACCTAGTTTGGAATACCACAATAGTCAAGTAGCTATTGGTTTAAAATCTCCACACTAGAGTTAGACAGGCATGTAACTTCCCTCAGGATCTGGAGATGCTCAAGTCTCTGTTCAGAGGCACACTGGAAATTGGGTATGCTTGTAGAACATCGGTGCATTTCTGAGACAGGGCAAGTTTTGGACCCTGGGGTGTATTTCATTCATCAACAAAGTAGTCATTTCTCTGCTGTTTGGTGAGCTCACTGTTGTGAGGGTTAGGTGAAATAAAGTATGGGAAAGTGCCAACCCATGAGATTCCCCAGTAAATGTCCTGGTTGGAATTTAAATTTAGGTCTAGCAAAATGACTCATCAGCTAAAAATACTTTACACATATACCTGACAACCCAAGTTCAACCCTTAAAACCCACATAAAAAAGCCAGATGCAAGAGCAGGCATTTGTAATGCCAGCACTCACAGGCAAGGTGAGAGGTGGAGACAGGAGACCCACCTGGAGTACATAGCACAGCAGGACCCAGAGTCATCCTCTGACCTCCACACAGGTATTTATGCAAGCATGTCCTCTGTCTGTCTCCCACCACCACCCCCACAGTAATATTAAACTTAAATCTGTTCAGTTAAGATTTAAAAGTTTCCTTAAGAAGAACCATCTTCTTTATGTATAATATTTCACTCTGTGTCTAGAACTCTGACTGGCTGTGAACCTTTTCCCTTTCCCCATTAAATCATACTCCTAATACAGAAGTTCTTTTCTGTCTCTAACGGTTTATTATTTTATAATGGCTATTTTGCTTGTATGTTATAAGCACACCTTGTATGTACCTGGTGCTCATGAAATGCAAGAGGGCATTGGATCCTCTGGAACTGGAGTTTCAAATGCTTGTGAGCTGCCTTGTGGGTCCTAAGAACTGAACAGCATGTCCTCTCAGCTGCTGAGCCATCTCTCCAGCCCCCAAGGTTCTATCTTCTGTATAGCCTGAGTAAGTCTAGTTTAAAACCATCCCAGCTGTCCTTTAGACAGCAGAAATGCTGAGGGTGGCACAGGACACTGCAGAGAGTTAGTGAGGGCAGGCATCTGAGGACTGCTTCACAAAGGGCTTTGGAGTCCCCTGTGTGCTGAACTGACAACCAAGCTTCATTCAGGAAATAACTTCCCAAATAATCGTCCATGAGAACATCTAGAATGAGGATGGTCTCCAGCTCTCAAGTAAGCAGTGTGGTGGGAAGTCTTCCTCTTTAGTGTGTGTGCAATTACCCAGAGGCTTTGCCAACCAAATCAGGGAATGAACAGGAGGCCAAGAGATTCATCACTGCTGAACACTTCCTCAGAGGGCTGTTCCATCCAACAGCACATCATCTGAAGCCCATTTGTTTGCTGCAAGTCTTTAATTCTAAGACAAGAAAATTGACTTTGTACAGATGAGTATGAAAGAGAAAAATGGTTCAACTGTTTGCCCAGGCTTTCCTTTCCTGACTCTCTTGGTTCACAACAAAATGAAATCTCAAACCAGTCAGCACATGATAGTAGAACTGTCTCACCAGACAATGTGGATGTGTGGAGTTCAAGGGCACCGGGTAGACAAAGACAGAGACTGAAAGCCAAGCCCTGGGTCATGGTCATGCCTTCTCTGAACACTTCATTAAGCAACCACACCACCAGATCTACCATATTTTCCTAATTCGTATCAGCTCTCCAGCCATGGCACATAAATGTATCCAAAGCCAGTTTAGCTAGCAGTCTGTGGGGCTTAACTAAGATGGGCACACATTCACAGACAGACAGACAGACAGACAGACAGACAGACAGACAGACTGACTGACTGAATGAATGAATGAATGAATGAGTATGAGGATGAATCTGGAGCTTCTGCCTCAGTTATAATTCTCATATAAATTAAAAAATTTGATAAAACATCTGAACCAACTGGTTCCAAACATTCAACAAAAGACAGCATCAGATGGTTAGTGATTCCTGGGGCTGGGAGGTGGCAACAGGAAGTAAGACCCACTCCATAGGGTCCCCAGTTCTCCACCCAGGTGGCCTGTTGGGACAGTGACACAGGACAGGTCTCTGAAGGGAAGCTGCTATAAAGTAGACTTCAGGAGTCTGAGGAGATTGACACTTGCAGAGTACCCTAGTGGAGGAAAGGTCAGAGCCAGCTAGGCTGAGCACCTGAACAAGGAATCCTTGAGTACCGGACTGAAAAACACACTGCATTGCACAGGCTTATTTCCAGAAAGCCAAACAGAGAAAACAGGGCAAGAGCTACCATCTAATTATACAACTCACAAGACATGTGAACTCCAAATAAGAACGAACACTGAAGACACCCTGTACAACAGGCTGGTAGTCAAGTCACGACACACCATACAACAGGAAAACCATAGGCTACTATAGGTTAAGCTTAGTTAAGCCAAGCTTAACCAAGACTCAGGAAAACCAAGTGGTTCTTTTGGGGAGATCACTGATGCCCACACAAAATCCAACACATCGAAGACAACAAAATCTAAACACTCAGTGATGACAGTCACAAAATGTGGTCCCCCACACATAATCAGCCAGGTGAAGTAGTAAGATCTAACTCAAACCAGGAAAAACCTAGCAACAGGAGGAAACCCAGTAAGACAGAAACAGAAGACTTAAACTGTCATAAAAAACGTCCAAGCATTTAAAGGACAAGATGAACCCAATGAGGCTTGGAGAATTGAAGATACAAAAGGATTACCAAATGCAACTTCTGGTCCTGGCAATTACCGTATCTTATCAGAAGTGTTTCTGGATCAAATGATATGAACTGAGACACCATAAAGAAAGGGAGAAAGAGAAGAAGGAGTTTGAAGATGTGCTGATGGGAATGACCAAGACTGAAGCACACTGAGGAAAAACTTGAGCCTCATCTGCTGTTGGTCCACTAGTGACATACACAACCTGTGTGTAACTGGAAACCTGAGAGGCTAAACACACACGAAAACAACACAAAACATTTTAATTTGGTAAAAGCCACAGATCTGCCTGCGCTCTACTCAGGAAAGTCTTTATGTAATTTTGGGATAGGATCTTACACACCAGACTGTCCTCAAACTTGTCCCTCAAACTTCTGATCGATTTTCCTGTCTCTACCTCCTGAGTTCCAAGGTTACAGACACGAGCCACCATGGCATTTTTTTTTTCCTTCTAAGAATTATATTGAAAGAATTTGACAGTAGAAAAAAATGCCCGACAGTGTGAACATGCACAGAGCTGCATCCTGTCTCCAGGTGCATCATGGCTGGTAAGGAGCTGCTCAAGTTGCAGAGGCCGACCACTATCTATATGTGGCTTCTAACTATTTAATATGAACTCTAGTTTTGCCCCCCTGACCTGTGATACAAAAGCTAATTCTTCACACTACTATCTTTGGGGTTTCTGAACGAAACATTTTCCGACCCTCATTCACTTTAGGAAACATGGTGCTTTCCCTATGGCCTGGCTGTAGTATGAACGTGGCTACTCTCCAGTATAGTAGCAGTGAGAGGTTGTGGAGCCTTGTCAAGATGAACCAACAGGGTGTTAGGTAGCTGTGAGCAAGTACTCAGGAGTAGGCGGCTATGACAGGGTGAGGCCAACCCCTCCCAACTGCCTACTTTCCTGCCTTAGTGTGACCTCATCCGCCTGTGTCCTCAGCACATGAGGCTTCCACGGGGACACAGCAGACACCAGCATCTCCAGAGCCAAGCCTATCCATTTTCTTTACAGATTACCTAGCCTTGGGTATTTTGTCACAGCAAGGAAAAGCGGACGAAGGCATACTGCATAAAAGCAGAGAAGTACACCCTTTCTGGACCCTCCTCCGCGAGAAGGATCACTTTTGTGGAATGTATTGCATAAACTGCAATCAGAGGCAGCTTGCCAAGCCAGGCCCGCCTTCCTCTAGTTAAGATTTGGGGCCAAATACATACCAAGTGCTTATTTTAGTGGGTGGCTGCTTTATTAGCCACCACAGTGCATTCCTGCCACTTCAGGGACGCCTTTAACACATCATCCCACATCATGAGGTGGTGGCTAAAACAGGTAGATCAATAAACAGCACACCAGTTTATGGGCTCCGGTCTGCCCACTCATTTACAGAGGCAGATCACTCATCTCAACAGTTCTCTGCGGTGTCGATCTGTAGAGCTGGACAAACTGAGATGCATGAACCCAAGGAGGGGGGATACCAGACTATCGGGACAAAAAGAGCTGAAGGGTTCCTCAGGATTTAAGATCTCACGCAGCTATAAGCAGAACTGAACATTAACATAATATTTAAGAGGCAGGGCTATTTATGGCTTTTCATACTCTCTTGCACGTCGTTTCCAAGCTGGCAACAGTAAACTATGGCAACAGGAAATCCTCCCTGCAGTGGAGTTTATGAATGCTTTTATGTTTTCATGAGTCAATGCCTTATTTAATTTCCTGTACAGAAAACCGGAGAGATTACAGTACACTGCAAAACAGACGTGCTAATCCAAGACCCTCCCAAAGAAAAACGAAGGATAGTTCCTGAGATAATTTCAATCTGTCTCTACAGAGAGGTGCAGCAGAAGTCAATACTCTGCCTCCCAAACCAACACCTGAGAGCTTAACTGTCCGCCTGGGCTCCTGGGGCTGGGGGTACACAACCCTGCAGGGTTCTGCACTGTAGTTACACCGATTGCCTGGGCCTTTAATCAACACACGGAACCACACTGACAAGCCTGTTTTCTAGGGTTTCCATAACAAACAAGCAGAAGGGGCACTATTTGGAGGAGGATGAGGACCAGTAAGGGCAAGGAAGAAGAGACAGGAAGTGGTGGTAAACACAAGCAAAGTACAATTGGACACAACACGAAGAACCGCTAGTAACATCTAAAAAGTCTTAAGAGAAACTTGAGGCTGGAGAGATGGCTCGCTGGTAAAGTTCTTGGCACGCAAGCATGAGGGCCGGAGTTTAAACCCTTTAATAAAGCTGACTGTGGTGCTGTACCCTTGTGATCAAGGGGTGGAGACAGGCCAATCCCTGGGGCTCACTGCCCAGCCAGCCCAGTTTACATGGGGAACTGCAGGCCAATGAGAGATCCTGTCTCAAAACACAGGCTGGATGCCTCCTGAGGAACAACAGCCATGCTTAACCAGTGGCATCTACATGCACACACATGTACACACTTGTGTATCACCCCCTTAAAACAACTATAGGCAACAGAAACAAAGGACTCCTCGACATTAGAAGAGTACAGATGGGGCCGGCAAGATGGCCCAGAGGGTAGAGATGCTTGCCGCACAAGGCTGGTAGAAGGAAGCGGGGAGTGGTGATACCAGCACTGAGGGGGCAGAAATGTCTTTGTAAGTTCCAGGTCAGCCTGGTCTGCGTAGCGAGTTCCGGGTCAGCAAAGATACATATGAGAGGTAGACTAAAAAAGGCAAAGAGGGGAAAGGGAGGAGGGGAGGGAGGGAGAGGGGGAGAGAGGAAGAAAGAGAGAGAGGGAAAGAGAGAGTGAGAGAGGGAGAGAGAGGCTCCACTAAGTTTGTCCTCTGACCTCCACAAGCAATTATGGTGCGTGCGTGCGCGCACACACACATGCACACACACACACACACACACACACACACACACACACGCATGCACGCACACCATGTCCAAATACATGTACACACAATAATATTAAAATAAAAGTAAACAAGAACGCTATGGAAAGGTTGGCTATGTAGAAGAGGACAAGGATGATATCACAAACCATTAACGTAAAGATGTCCAGGTCTTACAATCACATTAGGTTTCTGGATCTTTAAATACCCCTAACATTCACATATGTGTGGTGAAATCTCTGCAGTTCCACTCTGGTGCAATTGGACACCATCTGTGCCTGTGCCTTGACCTACCCACAGCTCTGATGACAGCAATGCATTTCGGTCCCATTGCAGCCATTTGGATTACAGGCTGACAGTTCTAGCGCTACAGCTCCCAGCCAGCCTGTCTCCCCCTCCTTCGCCAGCAGCTTCCCGCTGCCAGTGCAGTTTCATAGATGGTTTAGCGGGTGTCCATCAGCACAGCAGGGGTAATCAAGCATAGCAGGAAGGTGCGAGTGTTTCTTACTTTTGGTGTCAAGCTGTGCACGATACTTCTCGAATCCTTTCAGCCGAACTCGTTCTCCCAGAAGCTGAAGGAACTCCTCAAAGGCTGGGCCTGCGGACTCGTTGTTGTACATCTCCTCCTCCGTGCTCTGGCCTGCTTTGCAGTACATGATGCCCACTTTCTGCTGATAGTTCAGCTGTGGAGACAGGAGGCGTGGTGACACAAGGGCCTTCAGGCCACATATGCCCAGCGAATAGCCAGCACCCTTCTCAGGAAGAAACAACAGAGGAACAAAGCCTCTAACCCTCCTGAGCTACAAGAAAAGGACAAAGAATTGAATTGGAATGGCTGTATGTCATGTCTGACAGCATCAGAGCAGCTGGTGGGGCTTCCGGGAACTTCTTTTCTTGATTTACCAACTATGAAAGATTGATGAACAGCCTGCCCAGAACTGCCAATTAATCCTCCATATTCTTTCCCTTTACAAATCTGAGGCCTTTACACATTTAAAAGCAGAGGTCTATTTATCTAGACACACTTTAGAGTAAGTTGTTTTGAACTTAAAAAGCCATTAATAAACTTGTCATTTAAGAATTTGAGTAGACTTGCACCCCTCCATTTGAAGGGACCCTAACATAGTAACATAGAGCTTGGGTAGAGTCTATCTGTGTCACCAGCACACAGCCAGAGAAGCTTCTCTTCCAAACTGCTCAAAGGCAAAAGGGAGCTGGGGGGGGGGGGGGTGCTTCTTAATGGCAGATCAGCTCCAGGCAAATACTCCCAGTGTACTTAAAGCGAAGCATCCCAAGACTTAAATATGAAATAACAGTAATCAAGACATCCTTTTGTCACTGAAATGCTTTGTCAGCCTACAAACAACTTTGAAAACAATACTGAACTCTCAATATAAAGCAAACTGTAGACACTGAGATCTAGTGTGGCCAATGCTGAGCTCTTAACCCTCTTCCAAAAGGGTGCTGCAGATACCGATCTGAGAATTTAATCTAAGAAAAAATAACAGGCTATGTGTTTGCCTAGCATTCACTGGACTCCAACCTAGGATGGCATAAAAGCTGGTCCACATTCCTGAGTCCAAATAGCCCTCCTACTTATGCCCCATGAGCAGTGGTACTGCCCCCATGCCAGGTAAGGTGGCCACAAATTTATCGTCTGATCCCCAGAACAGCTTACCAGCTTGATCTTGATCTTACTCATCTGATAGAAAAGTGAATAGAAGGAAAGTAATCTGTGCAGTGGGTAGTCTTTAGTCTGTCTGTCTGTCTATCTATCTATTTTGAAGCAGGGTCTCTGTGTGTACCTTGGCTGGCCTGGAAATCCCTATATAAATCAGGCTGGCCTCCATTTCCCAAGAGACCGGCCCTCTACCTCCCAAGTGCTAGGGTTAAAGGGGTATGCCACTAAACCTGCCTTGTTTTATTCTGTATCTGCCAGTCAATGCATGGGTCCAAGGCCATTTATTTGTAATTCTCAGGTTGAAAAATAAATCAATTTACGCCAACATACTTGGCAGCAACTGATAAAAGACTGATATCCTAACTTCTAATTAATTCTTCTTGATATGAATATTCATATATCCCCTGCATGAATATTCATATGCTCGACTGTGGGGAGCTATCCCATATCACACTAGAAATATTAGCATGTTGTGCATGTATTTTATTATCCTTCTGCAATTTGAAAAATTTTGAGTTCTGAAAACATATTCAGGCCCTGCCATTTGGGGCCTTGGGCCTATATCAATGTTCTAAGCCACATGGTTCAGAGAGAAATCCTTTGCTTGCTTTTCCTTTCACCCTGCTTAGGTGACAAAAGAGCTCAACAGTCCCAGCCTCAGCTCAACTGCTTACCTGTCCCTATACCTGTGAGGACAAAGCAAAGCCACAGGCCTGAGCCTTGCAGGTAGATAAACTAAGACTGGACTGTGGGGAATAGCATATAAAATGGCAGTACCCTCGCTTCACTTACCTGGTAACAGGCATACATTTGGTTGGTGGGTTTTTATATCACACTTGGGGGGAGGGGAGCAAACAAAATATAGAAGTAAAATCACTGACATTTCAGTCCATCTCAGCTCAGCTGGCTGCTCCAACTGTCAGAATGTGGCCAAGCTAAAAGGGGAACCCCACAGGGAGAGGTTGCATCCTGGCTTTAGAATTGAGCTGAGTGCTCCAGGTCTCTGAGAATAAGTAGAGAATGGCAGGCTCTTTTCTGTCCATTACAAAGGCAGTCCTTAGCACAGCCAGCTCCCAGGACTGGGTTTTAGTGGCAGAATCTCCTCTCTGCAGGGAGGATCATCAGAGATAGTGATCTGCAGACAGGAAGGGCTTTGAGTTCGCAATCTGGCTGCACCACCAAGATCAGCCTGCAGAGGCCAGGAATACAAAAGTCACCCTGCTCAGTGGGGACCATTTTATCACTTTGGGTTTGTAGGTGAGTTTAAAGAATGTCTTATAGGCCTACAGTTTCACTGCAAAATTCAACAGGACTCATTTATCATGTTTAAAAGAGTCCACTGTGGAATAAGATAAGTAAGGCAATCTGAAAGCCCCAGCCAGGCAGACTCCAGGAGAGAACACAATGTGCCCTTCTACTCACTCACCGGATAGGTGCTATGGTCAGTTGCACCGGCTGGTTTCTGGTTTCACTGGTTTGAGAGTAAGAGTGCTTTATAAGAGGATTAGGAAATCTGCTAGACTGTCACATTTTCTTCCGTTTAAAACTATACCAGATGCCACCTGCTCTGTTCTCCTAAAGTGACAATATGACAATTAAATCAAATGCAGGTGGCATTCTCTGAACTCCGGACTCCTCAAATCCTTAGCTAATGACCATGTTTCCTGCTGGCATTTTCGGCACTGTGCAGGAGTCACAGGAGTGTAACACAAACATGCCTAGAGAAAGGGCAGGTGCCAGTGACACCAGAGCCACTGTCAACAGCTTTGAGCAGCACGGGATTGCTAGCAGGGTTCTATGAAACGGACCTTCAATTTCTTTGAAAGGCAAAATTATAACTGTGTGGGCTATGAATGGGAATATACACTATTTAAATATAAAATGCAAAACAGTAACAATGAACTCAGAACTACCCTGGAAACAGGGTGGATCTATGCAATGTAAATTTTATTGATGAGAATGTCTCGGCTTTTCAGTAATGGAATCAAGTTCTGTGCCTCAGGATACACTGCTGCCCTGGGGGCCTTATCCAAGTGTCTGGTCAAGTAGCAAATGTCTATTTTGTTTGTTTCTTGTTTGCTAGCATTTTGAGACAGGGCTACTATGCAGTGCTAGCCTGGCACTCACTATGTACAATAGTCTGGCCTCAAACTTACAGAGATCCACCTGCCTCTGCCTCCTGAGTGCTGCGATTAGAGGTGTGCGCCACCAGGCCTGGCAATAAGAATTTATGTCTATAAAGACTGATGGCATTAGGACAACAGAACAACAGCTGAATCTCAGCAAAGTAAAGCCACTTTCAAGCCGTATCAGAAGTGATGGGTACACCCATTCATCGGAACCAACAGTACCAAACTGGTTCCTTTCACATAGAATCAATAAATAGATACAATGTGAGCATTCTTCAATTTCTGCTATAGGGATACTCAATCTACTGAAAAATCCCAAGATCCAAAAAGACAGCCAAACTCTGCAAGGGTTTGCTTCTAGGCACTTTGGGAAGCAGTACAACCCAACTGAAAAATTCCTGTATTTCTGGGACAAGGGCAGATCCAGCCAGGGTTTAGAATCAGCTAACCACATCGCAGTAAATAAGCTCTCTGGAGCATCTAAGGAAATCTTATGTCTCACCCAGCTTACCAGAAGGAGCCACAGGAACAATAGAGTGACCTTTAGAATTAAATGTTCGATCTGGATGTTTGTAAAGTGTGAAATAGTAAGAGACCTTTCACTGTGCCACAGTTCTCAGAGCATGGGACATGAGTTCTCTGGGGTGTCTAGACTCTTGCCTTCTTGAGAGTGAATGTCCACACCACGTCAGTGGCACTGGACCCTACCAGTGCTCAGGGTATACAGCACTTGTTAGGAGAGTTACAAGGTGAACCAGCTGCTTTATCCACCCAAGACTGGATGACAGACAGGTCCTCTCTCTGAGGAAAAGGATACCACTGGTGGACAGGGCAAGTCCCAGCAGCCGACTAGGCCTCCGGTGATGCTGCTGTGTCTGGGCAGGCAGGACAGCAGCATTCCGGTCCTCCATGTGTCTTCACAGAAATGTAGGTAAACCTTAAAGAGACTGCCTAAGTACCTAGTGTCTGATACTACTCTGTGGGAAACAGGATCCACAGAGACGCAAGTTCAGCTCCCCAGGTACAGGGAGGCTATTCAAACAGCTTCTGCTGGTGGTTTTACTTTTTCAGTTTATAAAATCTTTTTAAAAATTCTGTCCGTGCTTATCAGGACTCAAGATGTTTGGCTTGTTCCCATCCCAAACTAGGAGGTGGAAAGAAAAGCCAGGACCTTCATAGCTGTACCATCCACAGACCCCGAGGTTGCTAGCCAGTCTACCTCCTAAATGTCTGCTGTTTTCATTTTATATTATGTTCAGGACTATTGGCTGTAATGAGCAGAGAGAGTGGGAACATTCTTCTGTCTTTTCAGAAGCAAGATCCTGCTTTTAAATGTTCTTCCATTGAGTTCCATGGGTTAGTGGGGGTCGGGGGTGGTGTCTACAGGGCTCTCCTGCCTGCCGCGAGCAGGAACTCATGGACAGTGTTCACTTTGGTTTGCTATACAGAAACATAACTCTCTCAACTTCTTCCTGAAGACAAGAATGCCAGACACTGGGAACACATCATCAGCACTGGAAATTTTTAAAATGATGGTTTGAAATTTTGTCCTCACTGGGAATACAAACAAAACTCCAATGCAGAGAAAAGAAAAGGAGGGAAGACGACGGAAGGGGAGGGGAGGGGAGGAAGGGAAGGAGGGAGGGAAAACATGGATATTGGATAGGGAAGGGTTTTTTGACAGATATTTTCAAAATTATGTATACTTGCACAGATTATGTGCTAATCTATTTTTATCTTTGGCATAATGCAAATAAAATATTCCACACACATAATCTAATCTTATTCTAAGATACACTGTGAAAAAATCTCCAAAATAAAAGATCCATCTAATAATAAATACATCTAACTTGACATTGAGATGAATTTCAAT